TCAAATTGAATTTTAGAGGAGGTCCTTTTAGGATTTCTAATGTTAATTTTGGGATTCGGGATTTTCTAATCCCGAAAAATCCCGGGATTTTCGGGATCGGGATTTCGGGACTGGCATCCCTACTTGGAAGTGATGTTATTCCAGAAATAACATTCCTGACTAACACTGATTCTTAGGAATTACGTCCAGGAAACTGAGTTTCTGAACACTGAAAAATAATTCATTCAGTAATTTTTTTTTCATGATAAGGAGCGCACAACAGGCCTGATAGTGGCCTAGGTGCATTTCTTCGGATTTGATGTATTAACCTTAACATATCTTAAAACATATTATAAACACGTCTTTCTGTTATTTTTTCTGCACTAATGGAAAAAGAAAAAAAGTATGTAAAATACTTTTTTAATTTTCAATACGAAAATTTACAACTTTTCTTTTTTCAGTTTTAATTTAAAAAAAATGTCAAAGAATAAAAATTTTTTTTTCGTTTGTAAAATATAAATTATTTTTGGTGTATTAATACATTAAAAGTTTCGCAAAAATTATTACACATTAAGTTTAAGTGATAAGAAAAACTATAATCTGTTAATATCCCCGGAATTTCGCGAAGAAAATTTGAAGTTTTTTGAGTGCGTTTAGTTCTATCAAGTGCATTTAATTCTCTCAGAACTCGTCTGTGTGAAGAAAATTAACATTTTTGTTTGACAACCGCTTCAGTTTCTCATTGTCTGGTTATATTTTATCGACAATTTTCATATAAACATTATTTTAACCGTCAGAATATATACTGGTTAAACTATAACCGGAGATTGAGAAAATGGGCCTGTGTATTTTAGATTAAATTACACTTATTGGGGTTGCCACGGAATCCAATTATTATCGCAATTGGTTTGGATAACAATAAACAAATTCATTGTTCTCATAGATTGCAATGTCATCATTTTTTTATTGGATAAAAAATTGTATTTTATTTCAAATATAAAACCAATTAAATTGGACTTCATAAGACCAATGTATTTTGTTGTCGTTGTTGCGATAACCCCGATTCTGATTTCAATATTTCTTTAAAATTATGACTCCAAGCCATATTGCGCAGTAATAAAAAAAATTTGTCTGACAGGCCGTCCTCTCCTCTAGAATTGTTCTATGGGTTGTAAAACTATGTCATACAAAAAATTAGGATAATTGGATAACGTTAACAGGTGCCGCAACGGCTCTGAAGTTTCCAAGTGCATTTACAAGGGGAAAATATAGATTTTTTTCAGTTTTTGATCAAATTTTGCCATTTAGTAATAAATTTTGAACTATTATTGTAAAGGAATCGTAATGTGCACAGAGTAAGCATTTCGGAAAGATATAAAACACAAAAATTGCTTGAAAACTTTAATAGTTATTGCAAATTTCCCAGGCCATTAACGTGTCTCACAGCACATAAATTCGAAATGTGACAAAAATTTTTTTTGGATATGAACAATTATCGAAGTTTTTTAATTCCTTTGAAATTAAACTAAATTGTTAATAACGTAAGAGTAAAATATCAAACAAATTTTTTACAGGATTATATACACAAGACTTCCAGCCTAAAAATTGCAAAATTGTAAAACTCTAGGTCTTCATTTCTAAACGTAATCGGTTTTGAAAGTTTACAAAATTAAAAAAAAATCGTGTGTCACTAACTAATTTTTTCACCTTCTTTTTATTTTTTGGTTCATAACTTTAAACTTTTGGACACTATTCGTTATAGTGCTAACTAAAGACACAGACAGAAGATAAATTCTTTACAAGCTTATCCGTGTGATATCACTTTACGTATTAGAACTTGGATGTTGAAATTTGTCACCAATTTTTTTCCAATTTTGAATTTTGTTCAGTTTTTTTGACGTCCCTTAATAAAATATAAAAATTAGGACAACAGTGATTAGCTGATGTAATTATACACAGTATAGTATATATCTTGTTAATGTGCCCTGAATAGGAGATCGGTACGGCATCTACAATAGTTGGAAAACTTGAACGTAAATTTTTTAAAGTATCAGTTTTTGGCGCGGCACATTCGCACTTATATAGCAAATAATTTTAATTATTGCGTAAATTGAGTTTTTTGTTATTGTGAAATATAAAATCGGAGGAGCATGCAAAAATATTCGAATGCAAAAATTTTATTATTTTTGCCATTTATTTTATTTTTGCCATTTTATATATCAAACAACGACTTATACAAACAATTAATGAATAGTCATGAAGATAATGACAAACACAATGGTTTGGGATCATAAATGTATTTAAAATGTTCTTGTAAGCTACAAAGACGTCACTTTTATCTAAACACATTTTGCCAAGGCACATCATGGATGATACTCAAAATTCGACAAAATTATCACCATTTACAAGTTTTCTTAATACTTTAATGTAAAACTGGGGCGCATCGAAACAGCCAAATAATTGTAGTTTTTGGGGGGCAAATAAGCATCAAAAAGCATCACTCTTTAAATATTTAATTCCCTCAAACTATAATTTTTTAATTGCATTCCCTTATAAATCAAGCTCGTAGAATTCAGATATTAACAGTTTTTTTTTTTAAATTTTAATTCGCGATTTTTCAAAAACTATGAGCAACAAGTTAAAAAATTACTGAAATGAAATTTCCTACTGTGTATTTTTAAAAATTTTTTAAATAAATTTTATAGTATGTATTTAATGCGCTAAATTTGAATTATTTTTACAATTATATGCAATTTTTTTCAAATATTACATATATAAATACTATTTTTAAGATTTTTTTTTAAATATTTAAATGAAAACCGCTATTACTTTTGCGCCCCTCGGTCAAAATGATTAACGCGAACGGATTCATCACGTATTAGGGTCTCTTTATATTCACACAAAATATTTTGAACGTGCCACAAAAAAATTTTTTTGATTTTTTTACCTCTAAAATTAAAAAATTTTGATAATTGCTCATATATTCTTAAAACCATTTTGTTACTTAAAATATATCTATAATTACTCCAATATTAGTTTTTGCCATTATACGCTAACTTGTTCTCAGCTAAAAAAAGTCAAAAAAGTTTGATTTTTTCAACGGCCGTTTTTTTTTAAACTTTGTTAAACAAATTTCAAAATTTTTAGGAGATCTCATGGGGATTTATGGTCAATAGATAAGGCTATTAAACGGTAATTTCGGGAAATTTTCGGTGGATTTCGGGAAAATCGCATTTTTTGTAATATTTTAGAGAATACGTATTAATTCTTTACTGTTGCACATTTTGCATAAAGTATTATCAGAGTATTTTAGTTAGGGTTGCCAGCCTGGCTGGACTTGGCTGGATTGTCCAGCTTTTTTGATGCTTGTCCAGTTCCAAGCTAAAATTTAATTTGTCCAGCTAAATAGAATTTTTTAGCACACCGCAATAACTTAGTAAATAGTTTTTATGTTACCTTTGTCAAATCATGTTACCCAACACTGTTTGTACATTTGTTATACAACTAAGATATGATTTCCCTCTTCTATCATCACTGACAACATGTCTCAACACTTGAAAAGCTGATGTCGTAATAAATAAGTATTATTGCGAGCGATAGTCAATTTCTTTACGTACAGCTTACGTACTTATGATTTTTAAAGTTTAAAACTTCAAAAATGGCGCTTTTTCACATCTTTTGCTCTTAAGGTGGAAGTACACAACACGCGTTGAGGCGGCAACGCGTTTTTCGCTTTTCAAACTTTTCGCGCTTTACAAGCTGCAAGTTACACACCGCGCGTCATTTTGATCTTTCTTTTAATGTTTTTTAAAACTATTACTGTTTTAAAAATCAAAATTTTAAGTTTTTGTTTATTTTTTAAATTTTTTCTTTCATAGTTGATGAAATTTATTTCATTTTAGTTTATTCTTTTTCTACACAAAACAAAATACAGCCCTAATCAGCTGTCGGCGCGTCAAAAGTTGAAAGTTGCTGAACTTTTCGCGGCAGACGCGTTACAAACTACAGTATGTAACTTGTTAAATGAAAACACACTATTTCCACTTTTTTTGACAGAAGCCTATAACGCGTTGCCGCGTACAACGCGAGCTGTGTATAGAATAAGATAAAATTAAATGAAATAAATTTCACCAACAATGAAGGAAAAATATTAAAAAACAAACAAAAACTAAAAATTTTGATTTTTAAAACAGTAATAGTCTTAAAAAACATTAAAAGAAAGATCAAAATGACTCGTGGTGTGTAACTTGCAGCTTGTAAACCGCGAAAGTTTGAAAAGCGTAAAACGCGTTGCCGCCTCAACGCGTGTTGTGTACTTCCACCTTTAAAAACTAAGTTAACGAAGTGATCGGGGAAAACTAAAAATATATTCGTAGTCTATGGACTATAACAAAACTGAATTGGTATATGAGAACCCCTGCATTTTTTTGGTGTATCACTGTGAAATTATTTACACAAAACCAAAATTAACATTAGCTCAGTATTTTTTATGTCCAGCTTTTTTTGTCCAGATAATATAAAATACATATCCGAAGTTTTATTAAAATCGGACATTCTTACCCTATAAACTGTGGAGTTCAAAGGTCAAATATTGCAATATTTGGGAATTCTTAGTGTACCATATCGAAATAATATTTATTTGTCGGCCATCTTTAACAAAAATGACTGGAATTTATCGTATATAGTTCGGTATTTGAAATAGAGTGAAAAAAGGTAGATTAACCCTTTAATGCAATAATTTAACACCAAAGTTCAAAAATTCGAAAAAACACTATCTATTTGAATAATGCTCTATATAATTAGAGGAATAACAGAAATAAAACAAAAAATTATATATTAAGTATAAAATTACAGCTGTATTTATAAAAAAATATTATAGGTTTATTAACGGATAATAAGCAAAAGTAGGAAAAATCGTATGCATAAATGATTAATAGCCTAAAATACCTTTAATAAACCATCAATAAAATGAAAAAATTATTGTAAGCTTCACCCTTCTTTAAAGCAACAATAAGTGACAATTGGTATTTGTTTATGTTTTGTACAAAGTTTTTCCGCCTTTTGTTTTGTTTGACATAAAAGAATTTTTAAGTGTTAAAGAACAATGGATATGGATACACTTATCAATATGACATCAGAATCGTATTGATTGTTATCAATAACAAATTCATTAGGTAGCCATACACTTATATCAGTACTACATAATGGCATTTCTGTGGGAGCTTGTCCCCCTCCGGTTTTTTCACACTTTCTCGGTGTTCCGATACTACCTTTTTTGCATTTACTTTTATGGAAGTCCATTGAGACTTTAATTGGTGAATTGTCCTTTTTTCAGACGAACAAAGGCTATTAAAACTATAAAAGAAAAACGAAAAAAAGTGTTATACCTATATAAACAATTCCATTTTAAATACAACAATGTGTTATAATAATGATTGAAAATAATTCAAATTAATTACTTTTTTTCTATATCCGTATTTTTATTTTCGACATCTTTAACTCTTTTTTTTTATCAATTCCTTAAGCAGCTCCTATAATAATACAAAATATAAATCAAAAATATAAACACTTTAAACTTTCCAGCAGTTCGACAAAGATTCAATACACACTAGTCACCTAGCTGATAGGGTTACTAGTGGTGACCCAAAGTGGTAGGTTAAATAACTAGTTTGGAACTGTCCCTCGGAACTGCTGGATTGCAACACAATAACACATTTTAAACAAACCTTGTCCACCTCACACCAATTTTCACTTCTTTGTCTTTTGGAAGAATTTTTCATTTATTTCCTGTAAAACTGGATTGCTGGACAAAATCTCTAAAAACTCTTCCTCATCCATTATTTTTTTGTTAATTATTTGCAAAAATATTTGCGATTTTTTTAAACACGATATTTGTATAGGCACAAAAATAAATTAAAACAAACAAAACACTAGTGATGTAAATAAAATTTGTGTACTACTTATTTGTACTCGTTATTCGAATACCATTTGTAAAATAAATGATTAAATATGTTTATCCGTGAATTTATTATTAAAATGTAGCTTTTCTTTCTTATAATAAGCAATGTATATATAATTTTGTTGAAATATAAACAATTTATTGCATAAAATTAATTTGAACACGTATTCACATTAGATTACCTAAATAACCGTATAGTAATTTTTTGCAACACTAACAATGAAATGACAACCGAAAGTTGAAAGGGTTGCCATATATATTAACAAAACGTACAATAAATGTGTAATAGTTACAGGGCTGTTATTGTATATTTATAAATATGAATTTTTATTGATGGTTTATTAGACAAAAAGTCTTTGATAAGTATTGTGTACCTTAAGCATAGAATAAGATATTTTTATAAATACAGCCGTTATACTTTAACCCTTTTTGACTATGGAGTTTACTCCACATTTTTAAAAGAAAAATTTTGTTTTTAAAACTGGTAATTTACGTAATCCTTTTTTACGGTCGATTTTCAATCGAATATGTATAAAAATACAAACTTTATATGGTCAAAAAGGGTTAATTCATAAGTTTTTATACTTAATATAGAATTTTTTGTTTTATTTCTGTTATTCCTTTTATTATATAGAGCACTAGCTGCGTGTACCCGGCGTTGTACGGGTTTCTTCGAAAAGTAAAGAGAATATTTTTCTATATGTAATGACTTTTTTTGAAATATATATCAACATTTAGCTTATAACGATAAAATTGTAATTATATTTTTCTGCCTTTTTTTTAATCATTAAAGTCAGTTTCTGGACCAAAAAGTCCCTTAAAACGTAGAAATTGAAAATGAGCTTAAATTAGGAAATTTTTACTTATTTGTAGAACAATTTAAGAAACTTTGTTTGAGAAATTATACTGAAATCAGCATTTTCAATCACTGGTAGGGAACTAAGGATATTTTTAAATTATTTGTTTTATTTTTTTCATGTGCAGTAGATTTAAATAACTGTTCAATCTAAATTAGGTCACACCGTACTTTGAATTGTAGTGCTGGTGTCTTCGGGGGCATTTTATTAATTTCAAAAATACGTACCATTAACCGTACAAAATTTCAAGCGATATTTTTGCTGTTTGAAAGAGTACATGCAATTGAAAAAACTCTGAAACGATTATAAGAAATTCTGCACAAAATTTGGTGGATAATTTTCTAAAAGTGAAAAAAAAAAATATTGAAAGATGAATTCATCCATATTTTTTATGCATCGTTTGAGATTTGCAAAAATGCTGTCGTTCAGGACACTCTAATGAGTAGTCAAATACATATCATGGTTTTTTAGATTTGAGCTGCATTTAAAAAATGAAAACCGAATTTATATTAAGATAATTTTTTGATGGTTTATTTAACTTATTGTAGATTTTTTTATCGATTTTACAATAAATTTAAATTTTATATTTTTGATATAAAAATCGATTTGGATGGAAAATATGAATGATTACGGATCTTTAAGGAGCGAACAACTTTGGATTTGATGTAGTATACATCCCCCTATTAACCTAACCTAACGGATCTTTATTGTTTTCTCGAATTGAGAGTTATATAAATATAAATTTTAAGGGGAGATATGAATGATTTTCTAGATGGATTTGTAGATTTAAGTTTAAAATGTAATATGAATATATTATTTACCCTATTTTAGGAGCGGTTTTTGTTCAGTAGTTTTTATTCTGCATACCAAAGTGGCATCGTAGGTGGAAAATATAAGCAATGGGAGTAATATATACGGGTCTACAACAATATAATATTGATAAAAAATTTCCATATGCTATTTTTCGATCGTAGTAAACTACATCCGATTCTGTTTTAAAATAGTTTTTTTTGGGATATCAGCGGATTACAGGTTTTGAAATAAGAATAGTTTTCTGGTGGAAAATATAAGTGATGGGATATACGAATCTACAACCGATTTTACGCTTTAGATGAAAATCGATTTTCGATAATAAATTAAATTGATTAAAGATTTTTATTTTACCTAATCGTAAAGTAAGTTAAGGACCTACAAACGTTTTAGAATTTTCAAATAAAAATAAATTTTTGATTAAAATTTTAACTACCTAAATAATAATTCTCATATAGTATAAGAAGTATATATCATGAGCATTATAAATGTAACAAAAAATGAACGGAAAAGGGTCATTGCATTTCATTAAGATCACAGCAGGCCCGAAATTAGTGGTATAGGTGTATTTATTCGGATTTGATGTATTAAACATTCTCTTCCTCAAACTAACCTAACCTTCCACGATAGAACTATTATTATGCACAATTTCATGAAGCATAAAATCCAGATCAAAAAATTTATTCCAAAAATACACTGTCTGTTACCAAATTTCTTGAAAATTGGTTCATGTTTTTTATATTTAGCCTAGAAATTTGGTGTTATAGCTGCTATTTTAAAAGTGAACATAAAAATATGCGTAGCATCCAATCAATATCATATAGAGTCAATTTTAACTTAATTTTTTTGTATGGTTGAACGTAAATTTGGTATAATAATTGTTTTACAATAAGTTGGCGTAAAAAGGGGCGTGGCGTAAAATCCAGATCTTATATAGTTTATAGTTCCTCTTGAGGTCAGACCTATCGGTATACTAAATTTCATGTAAAACGGTTCAGCAATTTTCTGTAAGTCTCGAATGAAAATTTTGTATAACAATTATATAGAAAAAAGTGAGCATAAGAGGAATCGTGACGTCCAATCATGATTTTATATAGCCTATTGTTCCACTTAGAATAGAACTATTAGTGTTCAAAATTTCATGTAAATCGGTAAATCGAGGCGTGCCATCAGTTCAAGATCTTATATATATATATATATATATATATATCCTATAGTCCTTTTGGAGCTTATACCTATCGGTATGCAAAATTTCATGTAAATCGGCTTAGTAGTTTATGCATATTGTGATTGCAAAATTTTTGTAATAATAGTTTTACAAAAAGTGGGCGGAAAAAGGGCGTGGCATCCGATCATGATCTTATATTGCCTATTGCTCCTTTGGTGTTAAATTGTCCCCAAGGGCTAATCTACCTTTCTCACACTAATTCCAAAATATTGCTAAATTTGACCTTTGAACTCCACAGCTTATGGGTTAAGAATGTCCGATAAGGCGATAACAAATTGTTTGCAGCTAGGACCATACGAAAACTTTAAGATTAAAGGTGGGCTCGTTTACAAAAGTATAAATATCCATGATCTCTTAGTAATGCCGAAAATAATGGAGTCGGAAATTATCAGAAATGCACATGAAAATGGACACTTCTCAGTACAAACAAGTAAGAGTGTTATATTCGGCTATGCCGAATCCTATATACCCACCATCACACCTCGTTTGACTCGAATGAAACTTACTTATGTCGAATTTCATCTATATACTCGTATATTTAGGCCAGTTATAAGCGTTAAAGTAATTTTCTGAAGGGGACCTTCAGGGTAGATGGGTCAATTATGGGTCGATCCTCATAAAATCTGGTAGACAGAATTTGGTTCGTATTAAATTTATTTGTGTCGAATTTCATCGCTACACTCGTATTTTTAAACCATTAATGAGCGTTGCAGTCATTTTCTGAAGGGGACCTTATATGGGGGTAGGGTCAATCATGGACCGATCCGATCATAAAATTTTTTCAGATAGATTTTGACTCGTATGAAACTTACTTATGTTGAATTTCATCTATATACTAGTATTTTTAAGCCAGTATTGAGCGTTAATGGACCGATCCTCATAAAATTTTGCATAGTGATTTTGGATCATAAGGAACTTACTTATGTCGAATTTCATCGCTATATTTGTATTTTTAAACAAGATATGGCTGTTAAGGCTGCTTTTCCACGAAAACGTGGACCGTTATTGTCCATTTTCAATACCAAACAAACCTTACCTATAAAAAATATTTATGTGAAATTTCAACCCTCTAGCTCTTTCCATTCGGACTCTATCGTGCTTTCAACAGACAGACAGATGGAATGACAAAATCAATATACCCCCCTAAGCTGTCTTCTGAAGACACAACAAAGTGGTATAAGTTTGTGAGTCACGTCCAGAAGGCTTTAAATTCCACGCTACACAGCTCTACTAAAACTACTCCTTTTGAAGTAATGTTTGGCGTTAAAATCAAATCTAATATATACAGTGGAATAATTGATATGCTTCAAGAAGAACTTATTGAAAATTACAACAAAGAACGTCAACAGCCAAGAGAGGAAGTTAAACAACAAATCATTGAGGCGCAAGAGAAATACAAAAATAGTTATGATAAACAACGTAAGCAGTCGTCAGTATATTCTGTGGGCGATTTAGTGGCTATTAAGAGGACACAGTTTGTAGCTGGTAGAAAATTAGCGAGCGAGTATTTGGGTCCTTATAAAGTAATAAAAGTAAAACGCAATGATCGATATGATGTCGAGAAGGTCGCCGGTTCCGATGGTCCACGTTATACTTCTACAAGTGCAGACAACATGAGGGGATGGAAATCCTCTGATGCCGAAGATGAGCTGTCATCTGGGACAGATGATTTTCAGGATGGCCGATTGTAAAGGATTAACATTGATCTATTGTCATTCTCTTACCCTGTGGTGAATACAAGCATAAAGTGGATAATAATAAGAATAAAAAAAGCAGGTTGAGTAAAAGGCAATAATTAAATAAAAAGTCAGTCGTTTAAAGTATGTCAGTGCGTTCAAGTTCTTTAAAGTTGTCTTTTAATTGTTAATTGTAAAGTTGTTAATGTTCATGTCCAGTATCTTTAAAATGTTCAATCAAAATTAAAATTTGTGACTAATCTTTATAAAAAGTGAAACTGATTCTCAATTATTCTAAATTGCACTTTCTACTTAAATATTTAATAATTTTCTATAAATATATAATAAATAAAATATAACTAAACTATTAAAAGCAATTCTTTTATTTTAAATCCAAAAACTTAAAATAATTTACATACATACATACATACATACATACATACACACATACATACATACATACATACATACATACATACATACATACATACATACATACATACATACATACATACATACATACATACATACATACCATACATACATACATACATACATACATACATACATACATACATACATACATACATACATACATACATACATACATACATACATACATACATACATACATACATACATACATACATACATACATACATACATACATACATACATACATATTATGGCGTATTGTTTGAAAGGGGTTTTAAACCCGCGTGCAATGATGTATTAATCATAAAAAACCGTCTGCTCATAGTTGTCAAATTCCAAAAAAATTTTAAATTGTTTGGTTTTTCATTAACATAAATAAAATTTATGCACAATTTTCCAAATTTTGCATACCACTAGACGCGACTTCAAAAAACCTTTCAAATGATACCACATATCATATATTTTGTTTAAGAAAAAACTGAAATATTAAAAAAAATAACTCAAAAGGGAAACTATCATAAAACAAAACAAAGATTTTTTGAAGCTGGGTAAAATTTTGAATTGAACATGAAAAATCAAGTCCCCCATAGAATATTTTCTTGAAAACTGTCCAGCTCACGAACGTACAATACTAAACCCAAAATATTTTGGTTAACATCATCCTACATAACAACAAATATTTTGAGGGGGGTAACTCAAACACCATTTTTTGTGAGTCGGTCTAATATATATACATTAGAGTGCTACAAAAACCGAAGTAGCGAATTTTGACCGCCCCCACCCCCTCTAGAATTGATCTTTGGGTTGTAAAACTATGTCATACAAAAAATTAGGCTGATAGGATAACGTTCACAAGTGCCGCAACGGCTCTGAAGTTTTCAAATGCATTTACAAGGGGAAAATATCGATTTTTTTCATTTTTTTTCAAATTTGGCCATTAAGTAATAAATTTTGAAATTATTGTAAACGTGCACAAAGTAAGCATTTCGGAAAGACAAAACACAAAAATTGCTTGAAAACTTTAAAAGTTATTGCAAATTCCCCAGGCCATTAACGGGTCCCACAGCACATGAATTCGAAATGTGACAAAAAATTTACTTTTTTTGGGATATATCCAAAAAAAAAAAAACATTTTGTTACTTAAAATATATCTATAATTACTCGAATATTAGTTTTTGCCCTTATAAGATAACGCAAACTTCTTCTCAGCGAAATTTTATTAAAATCGGACATTCTTAACCCATAAGCTGTGGAGTTCAAAGGTCAAATTTAGCAATATTTTGGAATTAGTGTGAGAAAGGTAGATTAGCCCTTGGGAACAATTTAACACCAAAGTTAAAAAATTCGATATAACACTCTCTATTTGAATATATATATATATATATATATATATATATATATATATATATATATATATATATATATATATATATATATATATATATATATATATATATATATATATATATATATATATATATATATATATATATATTCATATATATATATATATATATATTCATATATATATATATATTCAAATTGTTCCCAAGGGCTAATCTACCTTTCTCACACTAATTCCAAAATATTGCTAAATTTGACCTTTGAACTCCACAGCTTATGGGTTAAGAATGTCCGATTTTAATAAAATTTCGCTGAGAAGAAGTTTGCGTTATCTTATAAGGGCAAAAACTAATATTCGAGTAATTATAGATATATTTTAAGTAACAAACTGTTTTTTTTTTTTTTTTTGGATATATCCCAAAAAAAGTAAATTTTTTGTCACATTTCGAATTCATGTGCTGTGGGACCCGTTAATGGCCTGGGGAATTTGCAATAACTTTTAAAGTTTTCAAGCAATTTTTGTGTTTTGTCTTTCCGAAATGCTTACTTTGTGCACGTTTACAATAAGTTCAAAATTTATTACTTAATGGCCAAATTTGGAAAAAAAATGAAAAAAATCGATATTTTCCCCTTGTAAATGCATTTGAAAACTTCAGAGCCGTTGCGGCACCTGTGAACGTTATCCTATCAGCCTAATTTTTTGTATGACATAGTTTTACAACCCAAAGATCAATTCTAGAGGGGGTGGGGGCGGTCAAAATTCGCTACTTCGTTTTTTGGAGCACTCTAATGTATATATATTAGACCGACTCACAAAAAATGGTGTTTGAGTTACCCCCCTCAAAATAGTTGTTGTTATGTAGGATGATGTTAACCAAAATATTTTGGGTTTAGTATTGTACGTTCGTGAGCTGGACAGTTTTCAAGAAAATATTCTATGGGGGACTTGATTTTTCATGTTCAATTCAAAATTTTACCCAGCTTCAAAAAATCTTTGTTTTGTTTTATGATAGTTTCCCTTTTGAGTTATTTTTTTAAATATTTCAGTTTTTTCTTAAACAAAATATATGATATGTGGTATCATTTGAAAGGTTTTTTGAAGTCGCGTCTAGTGGTATGCAAAATTTGGAAAATTGTGCATAAATTTTATTTATGTTAATGAAAAACCAAACAATTTAAAATTTTTGGGAATTTGACAACTATGAGCAGACGGTTTTTTATGATTAATACATCATTGCACGCGGGTTTAAAACCCCTTTCAAACAATACGCCA